ACAGGAAACCCTGTCTCAACAACCAGAACCACGACATAAAGTTTACTTTTAAAAACTTAGTTAACTGGGCACAATGACACATGACTGCGATCCCACCTACACAGAGAATTGCTGGGCAGCCTGTCTCACACCCCTCTACAAAATCTCCATGTGAACCTGTCTTTCAATCTGTCCTGTTGCCTGAAATCATCTCTGCTGTAAGAACCTTGTCTCAGCTGTCGCTCTGTTAGCATCTCCAAGACTAGAGGCTCTCAGTTATGACTGAAATGTGCTCTTCCAGAGAACTGGGTTCAAGTCCCAGCACCCACACGACAATCAATGTAGAACCATGTGTAACTCCAGTCTTGGTCTGACTGACTCTCTCTTCTGACCTCTGCATGCACATGGTACACACACACACACACACACACACACACACACACACGGGTGTAGGTGGAACACCCATACACATGAAATAAAATTTTCATATTGTATTTTATAAAAGACAAAGGGCCACAAACATTTATGAGAAGCAGAGTCGGTGAGTGCTTTGGGCACAAATATACCAGCCTGTAGTAGTCTCCAGAAAAGCTATTAGCTCACAAAACAGTCAGCTGTTTAGCCAGCATTGAAAGTTCTGGGTGTTTCTACATATTCATCCAGGTTTCTTGGGATTTGTTTTGTTATTGTACAATTCCTTTAGATGATTTCTTTCCAAAAAGCTAGGGAAAATGCCCTTTCTTAATAATAATAATAAGGAAAAGGAGAAGAAGAAGATTCATCCAAAACCAGAAGTTCCATTTTCATCCATGTTTAGACAAAATGGCAAAGTTGCCTCACCCGCCACTCAGCCTTCGCCCTGGAGGAAATTATCCCTGTGCATCTGGCTCTTCTCACATTTTGTGTGTGTGTGTGTGTGTGTGTGTGTGTGTGTGTGTGTGTGTGTGTGTGTCTTTCTAGACATTTGTTCAGCTCTGCGTATTTGATTTTTAAAAAGATAGGATCATACTGTTTGTCATTCTTGAGATTTCCCTTTTTGGAACGTCGCAGAAAGCCACGTGTCTGTCCGTTGGGATTAATTTAACCCGTGTGTTCCCCCAGCGGCCGGCCGGGATTTTGGTTCTGCAGGACGGCCTGCCTCATTCACCTGTTGACACAGGATGGCTGGGAATGTTGCTATTGCGAGCCTTGCAGTCAGCAGTGACATCACCGTGCTGAGTCTCACTCCGAGTTCAAAGAAGGAGACTCCTCTGTGACAGAGACGCGAGTGTGACTGGCGCTGAGCACACAGGGCTCAACCGCTGCGCTGGGACACTGGTCCCCTCTGCTTTGGTCTTCTTTTCTTCCTACGTGGGCTGGGCAGGCTCGACTTCTCTAAAGCAGGCCACGTGACCCAGTTCTGGCCAATTAAACATGAAGGAACAAAAGTTTCCCGAGCAGTCCCTGGGAATGGTCACTTTCCAGGTAAGAGGGCTCTACCTCTTTTCCTGCCTTGAGAATCACTGGGGGAAGGGGGGGGGGGGTAGAGGGGTTGCAGCCAGGGTGCCACACGGGGCTGGGGGAAGCCAAGAGAATCCCCGAGATGCTGGCTCGAACACCCGAGCTGCTTGATTAGAGCACAGCATCCAACCTCAGCAGCTTGTCATAAAGGAAGAGCCTGCTTAAGCTGCAGGAAGCCTGGTTTTCTGTTACTTGCAGCCAAAAGTATTCCTCGCGCTTTAAGTATTAAATTACGCTTTTAAATGACTGTACTCCTGAGGCTGGTTGAGGGCACTGGCTGCTCCTACTGAGGACCTGGGGTTCCGTTCCAACACCTACATGGTGGTTCACAACCAGCCATCTCTAACTCCAGTTCCAGGGCCTCAAACACCCTCTTCTGGCCTCCACAGGTACCAGGCACACATGTAGTGTTTGGACATACACACAGGCAAAGCACCCATACCCATGAAATAAAAATAAGTAAATCTTAAATAAGAAAAATCTGTTTTTGGTTGTTTTACTTTCTCCCAAGTCTACTGAGAGGAGCTGTTTCCCAAACATCTGTCGTCCTCGAACGTTGGAAGTCACTTAAATGCTTAGCAGGAATGACCTGGGAACGGTAGTGTTCGTTCACAGGCTCACTAGTCACACAGTTTTCTTCTCGGATGGCTTTCTCGGCCGGCCGTTATCTCCTGTCTACTTTTCTAAGTTCTCTGTGGCAGGGAAGTTGGGACAGTTAGATTGTCTGGGGGAATTGTTCCTTGCAGCCTCATATTGTCAACCCAATGAGACACACTGGAAGGAGTAAGCCCAGAGTGACAGGCTGAGCTGAAAGGGACAGCCACCTCGGAGTACACCACATGTACTGTGTCAAAAAGCACTTCAGCCGACACACATCACACCTCCTTTGCAAACTTATACTGAAACAAAGGGGGGTGTGTGTGTGCACTGTGCACAGGGCAGAGCCCTCGATGTATGTCTTGTCTTACCCCTCCCCTCAAACCCAAGTGGCTGGTCATTGCCATTCCTATTTGACAGAATAAATAATAAAAGCGAACATTAAAAAAAAAACAACCCATCAATCACTTTCATACCACAAACACGGCAGGCCCGATACTTAACAACAAAATGACTGTCTTAATTCAAATTATGCAAAATATGCTCTGCCTATCTAAAGATATCAGCGTACTTAAGCTAGAAACACCGCTGAACCTGTTTGGTGGTTTTTATGATTCTAAAGAGTCTGTTTCAAACTTTGATTCCCAGGAATAGACATGAAGGTAGAAGGAGCGTGTGTCGGAGGGGGCTCGGGTGAGCTGGGGTGGAGATGATCAAGACACACTGCATATATGTGGAGCTGTCAAAGAACAAGCCGGATTATTGTTGTTTTTCAAGCCAGGGTTTCTCTGTGTAGCTTTGGAGCCTATCCTGGCCCTAGCTCTGTAGACCAGGCTGGCCTTGAACTCATAGAGATCCGCTTGCCTCTAACTCCGAGTGCTGGGATTAAAGGTGTGTGCCACCACCCCCCAACCAAGCCCAAACTACTTTTTTTTAAAAGAACAAACAATAAAAATGTATTCTCAAGTATTTTGTTATACTACACATGATCAAAATTATATTAACTTCTAAAAACTCATGTTAATGGGATTTTAGTGCTTTTACCAGCCAGGCACCCCACCCTAGGCAAGGAATTCCCCTAATCAGTTAACAAGTAACCAATCTCACACTGAAAACAAACAAAAATAGGCTGCTGAAGATATGAAAAGCCTGTACAGAATAGCAATGTCAACAAGCTGAACAGAGCAAGCACCTCCAGTAACATGTTCAAGGTTTTGCCTTTCTGTAGACTAGCTGCTTCAGGGATCCGCCCAGTCAGGGGACAGGGCATTTGCAAGATTGCCTGCTCCAGGGGTAAGGAGGGAAGCCACAAGCCACAAGAGGGCCCAGGTATTGACAAGTATCCCTTGATGCCTGCCATACCTCCTGCAACAAGAGCTGAGGGTTTGCACTCCTAGTCCACAGTAGAGAAGAACACTGAGTCCACCAAGCCTTCTTGATGTTTCCTTAGAGACCTCCCCTTAGGGGACATACCCAGCGGGCCCCAAGAACTCCTGCCCCTATGGTGGGAAGGCTAGACCACAGAGGTCCTATCCACGCACGCCCCGGGCAGGCACCGGATTCGGACCAGACCCTCTTGCAGGGAGTTTAAAGCTCTGGGGAGAGTTTGAATTCTGTTTTACTCTTAGAAAACCAGGCAGTGTTTACAGTGTATGGAGTGAAATGGGATGGCAAATCCCTGCCTGAGGGGACTCCAGATTCTCTCTATTTTCCTGGCTGGCCCAGTCTGTCCCCATACTGTTGTCCAGGAGGGCTGCAGTCCATGCTCACGACACGGGCCCATGGACGGGGTGGAGGGGACAAGCCGGTCCTTGGGGAGTGGAGGGGGGTCCCGGTGTTTGGCAGAAGGTCAGTGAAGCCAGAGTTAGTCGCCAAAACAAACCAAGCCAGCCAGATTGATTGGCTATTCAAAACAGTCCATCCAACCTGCAGTTCCCAGGGGTCAATGCACCCTGAGCGAAAAGTAAACAGAGGCAGGGACTGGGCCCCCAAACTAACTAGGCACAACACTACATTGCCAGTCGGACCCCTGACCAGCTCCCCCAAAGGGACGGCTCCCACCCATCCACCCATCCATCCACCCACCCACCCACCCATCCATCCACCCACCCACCAGCGGCCTGAGACACCAGGCTTTGGCGTCCACCCCTCACAGGCTGCTCTGTGGCTCTGAGACAGGAGCTAAGAGGGAAGTGTGCACTTGTGCCTGTCTGTGTGTGGTGCCGTGGGGTCAGCACTGCTCCATCTTCCACTTTCACAACCAAGTGTTCTCAGGACACGGCCTCACCGCTGTGCACAGGCAGGCACACGCCTGGGTGCACTCGGGTACCCACAGGTTCTTGGCCAGGGCGGCAGATACACACACAGTTAGCAGTAGAGACACAGTGCATTCGCTCTGCCAGTTGGGTAGCGCAGGCACACGATCACACGCACACCAACTCCACCAGGAGTGAACACACACACCCAGTGTCCCCGGGCTTGGGCTCTGCCCACACTCCCTCCACCACCTCTGTCAGACGCATACAGACCTCCACACGAGACCACAAACTCACAGCCTGTCAGCAGCACACACACAATCTGTTAGAAACACACACGCCCTTCCAATCAATCTTCCAGCTGGCCTGCGCGTCCACGTAGGTGCACCCCACAACCTGCCACACGCGCCGCAAGCAAGCACACTTAAAACAGCTCTGTGCAGTGCACACACCCGATCCCAACTTCTCGGCCGCTCCTGCACACTCGCATGAGCTCAGCTGGCACACGCACCCTCGCAGCCTGCCCCTGCTCCAGGCGCACCCCACACCCACGCACCCTCCCGGCCCGGCGCGCCCCTCCCCCACGCCCGTGCGGGCGCACACCGACAACTCGGGCGAAGCGGGGTGCACTCAACGCCCTCCGAGGCAGCTGCCTGTGCCCCTCCTCACCTTTCTCTCCCGCGCCCGCCGATCGGGCCTCGTCCTCCTTGGGGTTGGTCACCTGGGTGATGATGGCCGGACCGTCCATGGGTGCGCGCAGCGCCGGCCGCCCGCAGGCCCGGCCCCCCGCAAGCTAGGCGCGGGGGGCGCGCGGGGGCGCGGCGCAGGGGGCGCGCAGGGGCGCGGCGCGGTGGGGCGCTCGCCGCCGCCGCCGCCGCCGGGGCGCGCCCGCCGCCCGGCCCCGCGCTCCGAGAGAGGAGGCCGGGGCCCGCGCCCCAGCTCCAGCCGCCGCCGCCGCCGCCGCCTCTGGGCTGGAGCGGCCGCCGCCTTGTCAGCATGAACCCCGGAGCCGCGCCCGGGAGAGCCGCGCTCGGGGAGGCGGAGCGGGAGGCCCGGCGCCGCGGGAAGCGCGAGCGGGCGACGGAGGGAAGGAGCGAGCGCTGAGCTAGGGCGGGAGGGCGGGAGAGAGGGAGCGCAGGAGGGAGGGAGGAAAGCGAGGAGGGCGGGCGGGTGGGTGTGTCCCGGCCCGAGGACTAGCCTCCGCCGCCGCCGGCGCTGCCCGCCCGCCCGCCCGCCCGGGAGAGGGGTGCGGGGCCGAGTCGGGGGCCCAGCGCGCGGGGTGTGGTCTGGGGCCGAGGGCTGCGGCGCGCGCGCGGGGCTCAGGGCGCTTCGGGGCCGGTGGGAGGGTGCAGTGGAGCCCGGGAGAAGGAGCGGGCTCAGCGATCGGGGTGTGGGCCGCGGGGCGCGGAATGGATGGGTGAGCCGGGCGCCCGCGGCGGAGGCCCTGGTGCAGCGGGATCGCCGGCCGAGGCCCAGGGAGGGTTATTCATCCCGAGGCCAGACGCCGTGGGAGACGTTTGCAGTCGCCAGTGGGTTCCGGGCGAGGGACGTCCTGACACTCGAACTGGGAATGGAGGGTTCCGCAGGGGTGCGGGGAGCGAGGCTGCAGAAGGGCTCGGGCACGGAGTTGGGGTGATGTAGAGCTGGGGTGTACGGGAAGGCGGAGGAGGCTCTGGGCCCGGGAGTGAGGAGGCGATGAGGGGCGCGCGGAGAGTCTGCAGACCCGGCTCGCACTGTGCAGTCCGCATAAGCAATCGGGCTGCGAGTCTGTGCGGAACAGCGCGTCCTCGAGGCTAGACCTCTTGGCACGTGGCGCTCTGGGCACCTCCGCCAGGGGCTGTGGGCACCTCTGCCTCCTGGAGGCTGCAAGGGTGTGGGTGGCTGAGGACGGGAAGTGGCCTGTGGGAGCCGAGTTGGGCCAGGACTCAAATACTTGGGGCGTCGGGCTGCTGCCAAGTCTGGGGTAACAGCACCAGTTTTGGAGGGTCTGAGTCTTTGGGCGCCCTCACCTTCTTGTTCCAACTTGCAGGCCAGACTTGCATCCCTGTCAACCGGTGGGCGGGGCACTGCTGCAGGGGGGCGGGCCGTGGGCGCTCGCGCGCGCTGCTGACCAATCACCGCTTCCTGAGACCCGTGACGTAGTGGGCGGGCTGGAGAGGAAAGTCTGACTCCGCCCTCTCTCTAGCTTGCGCGCGCACTTGCCCGCCCCGCCCCCCTGGCTTTCAAGAGGGATGGCCCGGTGGAACTTCCTCAGTTTTCCAAGCGGTTGAGATCCCGGAGCTGGCAGCAGTGAAGCTGTATGCTCACCGGAGATCGACTGCAAAGTTGGAAAGAATGTTCCAGAAGCGCCTCTGGCAGCGGTGAGCCCGCAGATCGGTGGAGTCGGGAGAGCCCCACTGTGGGAGACCTCCCCAGGGCAGGACTTATGCTCCTGAAACAGGAGGAAGGCCCTGTCTGCGGACGAGCTGCAGTTTAGTTAGGCAAGAAGTCTGCGTTTTGTTCCCCAACCCAAGCAAGTGGCATCCTGGTTCTGTGCATAAAGGCATTCCAGGTGCTCACCCTGAGCATCTGCTTTTCTCAAAGCTCCTTGGGGCAGCCAAGCCAGGGAGCGTGAAGTGTCCTTTTGGCGAGGAAAGCAAGCCTTAGCAAACAGTCCACCCTCCGGGGCTTGACCTCCCTAACCCTCGCAGGTGCAGTTAAAGCCAGGCAGCTCCCAGGACTGACTTGCCCTGTCTCAGGAGATGCCTGGAGTATCAGGGCTCACCTGGCCATGCTTTTCAGTTCTGGATTCCTTTGGCTAAGGGAAGGAAGGGGGTGGGGGTACATCAAGGGCTGTTCATTTGGATAAAGGGCCACAGGAAGCTGTTATCAAATGTGGAGGAGTCTTCTGCTTAGCTTTTTCTAGACCAGTGATTTTTTTTTTTTTTTTTTTGGGAGACTCCCCATTGAAAATTCTTTCCTTCCGGGCCGGCATCCTCTCCCATCCTGGGCTTCCCGAAATCACCCGCAAGTCCCTCAACCCCTACCCCGCCAGCTTCACCCACCCACACACCCTTCCTTTCTTTTTATATGTATATACTGTACCTTGATCAATTCGCCCCTCAACTCCCCGAAGCAGCCCCATCGCATCTCCATCCAATTTCAATTCCTCTTATGATTATTTATTTATTTATTTATTTGTTTGGCCTACTGATTGCAATTAGCCTGAGCACATGGCTGTGGGGTCAGTCACTGAGGCATGGGGAACTCTCCAGTGGCTACATTTCTCAAGAAAAGTAACTTCCTGCTTCAGCAGCCATTAATGGCCAATAGCTCCTGAGGGGGCATGGGGCCCCTACAGCCCCCCCCATGCATTGTTGGAATTCTTGCCTGGCCTGATCTTGTACAGGCTGCCACAGTTGCCACTGGTAACTTTCTACCTCCTTTCTCTGTGTTCCCTGAGCCCCTGTGTGCGTGTGTGTGTGTGTGTGTGTGTGTGTGTGTGATGGAGACGGCCCGTGTGTGGCTGAGCACACACAACTGCCTACTCTGGGCACTTTGAATGGTACTTTGCTTCCAATTGATCACTGCCCACTGCAGTAAGTAAGCAGCTCCCCATCAAGGCTGGGAGCAGCGCAAATACAGCATCAGGGGAGGAAGAAATCAGCTTTCTGTCTTTCAAGTCCTTTTTCTCTCCCATCCACAGTTCATTCAAGAATTCAATTTATTGGCTGGTTGGTGGGGGCACACCCTTTAATCCCAGCACTCAGGAGGCAGAGGCAGGCGGATCTCTGTGAGTTCGAGGCCAGCCTGGTCTACAGAGCAAGTTCCAGGGCAGCCCTGTCTCCAAAAACAAACAAACAAAAACATTCAATTTATTATTGGAAGTCAAAGAAAAATATTACCCATCATCCCATTCCACCCTTACATCATCTTTACTTTCCTCCATGTCTCATTGTCACTGCTGACAGGATTTTTATGTAGTTATAGAAACCAAACTGAACCACATGTTTAAAACGATAGGGTTGGGGCTGGAGAGGTGACTCAGTGGTTAACAGCCATGGCTGTGCTTCCAAAGGAGCCGGTTCAATTCTCCCCACCCACATAGTGACTTACAACCAACTGTAACTCCAGTCCCAGGGGGATATGGTGCCCTCTTCTGGCTTCTGAGGGCACTGTACACACACAATGCACATACACACACACACGTATGTTTTTATATGTGTGTGCATATATATGTATGTATATATATATGCAGGAAAATAACTAAAAATTTAAATACATTTTTACATGAGTATTATTTTTATATACAAAATATATGGATATGTGTGCACAAGTTATAAGTATAACCCATTGAGACCATTTTTTTTTTTTTTTTTTTTGTTATTTGTGTGTATATGGCTTCAGAAATGACCACTTGGTATGGGATAACCATTATGGGGCTCATCCCTGGGAGGGGCTAATTTTCTCTCTTCCAGCAATCATTAGTTCTTTGCCTAGAGGTGGGGTCCTATGAAACTTTCCCTCTTCTGTGTTATATGTATCCTGATAATGCCATTGTTTTGGTACGTTTCTACAGCTATTTCTAGGAATAAATATTAAAAATTATAAATATGTTTTTTCATATAGTGACCTAACCATAACTAATAAATAATTGTGTAATATCATGGAAAGAGTCTGGGATGACACAGACTTGATTTGCAGATGGAAGATTAAAGTATGTGCCCACAGATTACCATGAGGAGAATATACATCTATACCTTAGTTGTTATACCATATACACAAGATGAATCAACTAATTAAATATTAAACAATAGCAAATACACCAAAACAAATATGGGCAAATGCTTTTGATCTTGTATGGGAAAGAACTAAGAGTTAAAAAAAAAAAAAAAAAAAAAAAAAAACCTTGAGAAATGACGAAAAGGTAAAGGTAAAATGATACACTTGGCTGTCTCTGTGCATTCGGCAGATGTTTATTAAGTGCTTTCTGTTTGCTAGGCTCTGATCTAGGCATTGGGGATTATGGAGTTGAGCTATACTGCTCTCCCACAGATCAGGGGTGACTATGGCTGTTCCTATTTGTGGTTCTTTAGGAATTTGAATAAAGAATCCCCAGTATCCAGAGGACAAGGGGCAGCCATTGGAGGTCAACCACATCAATTCTCAGCAGCACTTAAAAGGTTGGGTAGAAGTCATGTTTCCCTTACAAACTGCCATGATATAGTACTCTCTTGCCACTGGTATGAAAGCAGCTTTAGATCTGGTGTGGCAACACGCGACCTTAATTCTGCTTCTGTCCCCCGCTCAGGCTGAGATTAGGGGGGAAACTACTACCCCCGGCTTCTTTAAATACAGTTCCTTAATACTAGTGGGAAAGATTGGAAAGGACAAGGCTGGGCAGCAGTGGTGGCGCACGCCTTTGATTCCAGCACTCTGGGAGGTAGAGGCAGGTGGATCGTTGTGAGTTCAAGACCAGCCTGGTCTACAGAGTGAGTTCCAAGACAGCCACGGCTGCTACACAGAGAAACCCTGTCTCCAAACAAAGAATAAAACATCACCAACCAAAACAAGGCTGTGGGAGAACGTAGAGAGACCACGCGACCCGAGAAGGAGTGCTACATGGAAGATGAGCGATCAGAAAACCATCCCACATGAAGCCAGAAGTGGCGAGCTCGGTCCTGAGGGCCACGCACGGGAGAAGCACTGTGGAGGGCAGCCTGGCCTCCACTCTCACCCAGCCCAGGGTAGTTTACTCCAGTGGGCGTGGCTATGAGCGCTCGTACGTCTGGAGAGTGAGGGGCGGGGCGTAGGAAGAAACTGCTTGAGATGGGAGTCTGGCGATGGACAGTGTATGG